TGTCTTTGTGCGTGTGTACGTGTTCGCGTGTGATTTTGAACCGCACCCGGCGGCGCGCGCGCATGTAAGACAACATCGATCGACCGTGCGAGCCCCACGCGCCACGGCAGTAGTTAGAACCGACGGCTTTCCCCTCCCATGGTACACAGAAAGCTTCTTGTGAGCCAATAGTTTATTTTCGGAGCGTCTCTGCGATTTTGCTTTTTCAACCGACCTGAATCGTGCACGTAAGATAACACCCCCCGCAGAAATTTCGCCTTCCCGCCTTCCCGCCACCCCTCCAAATAAGACTTTGTCAGTATTACTCCCCCCATCGGACAAATAATATGTTTTGGGGGATTGGGGGATTGGGGGTGTACTTCGCGGGGAAATTACTTGAAATAGACTTGCGTCTACTGCGCGTACACGTTTCGCTGCGTGTCTCGGCCCCAAATTGTCCGTTCGCCAAAACCAAATTATCCAAGTGTGCGTCTGGCCTAACTCAACCATATTCCGAGAAAAAATCAATCCGTGAAGATCCTGATTTTTAACCTCAAATAACGATTTACAGCAGGAATGAACTCATTATGCTACACAAAAGTCGCCACCATTTTCATTTTTGATGCTGGCACTTCGCACGCGTGTGCCCCGAGCGTGTGTGGTCACAAATAAAAAACAATGGTGAAATCGGAGCATGTGTTGACTTTCGAAGCCTCTTTGAAGATTAAGTCAATGCAATATACTGCCGCATTCGTCCCATCAATTTTTTTCGCCTTGTAACTGGGCACACATGTGTGCCTGGGCCACATCCGCTCATCGCCTTGAAATAAACGACCAAATTCGATTTTGGCAAATTGCACCCACGTGGCCCCCTGACCACCTTTTTCCCGCCCAAACGGCGCTGTGACCATGAAATGTCCCATGTTTGTGCTTCCCTTCCCCCTTTTGTCCACCCCACGCATTGTTTTCGAGCGAAATTGACACAGGTGCCCACGAGATGCGCGAGAGATGCCCGCTGGACTGTATTTGTCAACCAATCAGCAATCGTACAACGTATCATCCACTTTTTTGTCACGATTGGGAGCCAATCAGGAATCGTCCTTAATCATACAGAGTCGTTCCATAGTATTTTGTACGGTTCAAGCACGATTTAAAAAGTTGGCAGCCTTTCTGTCGGCCTTATACTAAAGGTATGATAGTCTTTGTGCCTATGACGAATGTTTCTGTAAACATCCGCGCAGTAGTACACAATGTTAAACTTCCTCCAGTAAGTGTAGCTCGATTGGGTGGTGGGGGTCAAGACAATATTCAGGACACCATCACGATACAGATTCTCTTGCCAACGTGGCAGGTTCTTTACAAGTAAAATATATATGTGTACTTTAGTGCAAGACTACCATGGTAGACCATAGCCTTTGTTCGTGTGTGTGCATATGTAGGAAGGATCTGAGGAACGGTGCTGTGTTCCGTACATGAAGGGACCCGCCGTGGTACCTGTTGTAGTAGACTTGGATGAGTCTGCGGTGCCCCCATGCTGCGTCAGCCTGTGAGGGGGACTCTCTTTTCTCTTCTGTCTGTCGTGCGTTTGTCCTGCGGATCAATCAACGAGACTTTCTAGTCACTGGACACAAATACGGGCATACCCGGCAATCACTCCGGCTCTAGGAGTGGTCAACACTCTAGAGTTTCTTTCTATCTCCATCGTCCTTGCAAGGAAACGAAAGAGCCCGTGCCAGCAACATGTCGGGAGGCGTCTCGGAGCAGGAGCTCGCCGCTAAACTCGGAGATGTTAAGCGGTCTTTGACAGAACGCTTTGAGGAGAAGCAGACCAGGGCCGAAGCGAGGATGGAGCAGCCACTCGGCAGCTTCGAGGGACTTTTGCTCCAGCAGCCCACGCGAGACGGAGGAGGAGGAGGGTCATACGGCGCCGTGGTGGAAGGGGGCGCCGTGGGGGGTGCGGTTGGAATCCCAGGGGGGACCGGGAGGGGTCCCGCCGCAGGGAACCTACTCGAGACTGTGGGCCCTCGCGCTCGGGACAGCGGCGGCGTCAGCGGTGGAGTAGCGGGCGGCACAACACATGAGCCTGTTGATCGCGGGAAAAGTACTCGGTCCGAGAGAGCTGGAGGAGTATTGCATTCGTGGTGATCCCGGTGAATGTCGACTTGTCGCAGAGGAGCAACACCGCGCTATACTGCTGTGTTTGAAAGAAGGCTAACAGCAGCGCGGTGTGGCCGCGGACGCTTCATTTCTGGTTGATTCGTGAGTGATTTCTTGAGTGACCTTGCCTGTGACGAATGATGCCGAAAGTTTATGTAGGGGATTCGCAGTTCAGGCGTTTCTAGTATCTATCTGGTTTGGTGTTCGTAGAGCGTCTGTAGTTTCGCTTACGATGATTCAGCCAATGATGATGTTTTCGAAAGGGGATTCGCGGTTCGGGCGTTCCCTTTCTTGAGTGTGAGTGTTTTGTTGGAGCAACAACTGGAGTTCGTCTTCATTCGATGATATCCCCGAGCGTTTATGGCGGTCTTATTCTCGGAGGATAAGCTAGATGAGCGTGAGGCCTTGTACGGTAGGAAACCCACTATACCCAGCCCCAACCCTCCACGCCCCCAGATGTAGGGGGGGCGACTTGAGTTCTTGAAACCTGTGCTTTTCAGATGTAGGGGAAGGCACTGACACTGACACGCACTCCCAGATGTAGGGGGGGCGACTTGAGTTCTTGAAACCTGTGCTTTTCAGATGTAGGGGAAGGCACTGACACTGACACGCACTCCCAGATGTAGGGGGGGCGACTTGAGTTCTTGAAACCTGTGCTTTTCAGATGTAGGGGAAGGCACTGACACTGACACGCACTCCCAGATGTAGGGGGGGCGACTTGAGTTCTTGAAACCTGTGCTTTTCAGATGTAGGGGAAGGCACTGACACTGACACGCACTCCCAGATGTAGGGGGGGTAGCGAAAAAATTCGTAGGTGTGCTCTCCAGATGTAGGGGAGGGTGCCAACACGCACCCCCAGATGTGGGGGGGGTAGCGCATATATCTCACAGGTGTTCTCCCCAGAAAAAAGGGAGGAGGGAATCAGTACACGCCCTCCAGATGTAGGCGAGGGACGTACAGCAGTGGTTACACAACAGCGCGCCTCCAGATGTAGGGGGGGCAGCGCCAGCCGACGCACCCCAGACGTGGGGGGCAGTAATTCCTTACCCGTGCACCTCCATATGTCGAGAGGGCAGCACGGGTCAACGCTCTCCAGATGTAGGGGGGGCAGCGCCAGCCGACGCACCCCAGACGTGGGGGGCAGTAATTCCTTACCCGTGCACCTCCATATGTCGAGAGGGCAGCACGGGTCAACGCTCTCCAGATGTAGGGGGGGCAGCGCCAGCCGACGCACCCCAGACGTGGGGGGCAGTAATTCCTTACCCGTGCACCTCCATATGTCGAGAGGGCAGCACGGGTCAACGCTCTCCAGATGTAGGGGAGGGCAGCAGTTCTTCACCAGCGCGCCCCCAGATGTAGGGGGAGCGGCGCAGGTCAACGCTCTCCAGATGCAGGTCAAGGCAGCAGTTCTTCACCGGCGCGTCCCCAGATGTAGGGGGGACGATGCGGGTCCACGCTTTCCAGATGTAGGGGAGGGAAACTTTTCTTCACCGGCGCGCCTCCAGATGTAGGGGGGGCAACGCCGGTTAATGCTCTCCAGATGTTGGGGAGGGCGGCATTTCTTCACCTGCGCGCCTCCAGATGTAGGGGGGGCAACGCTGGGCTTATCGGTTGGGCGGTTCTCCAGATGAAGGGGGGAGCTGCACAGTCATCACAGATCTCCGCCAACGCGCTTCCAGATGTAGGGGGGGCAGCGTGGGCATTTGTCGTTGTAGTCGGCGCGCTTACCAGGGTGGCGAGCAGCAGTAGGGGATTTTGCGGGTGGGTGGGAGGAGCCGGAGTCCACTTGGCAATGGAGAGAAGACCCCCGCTGAGACCGACAAATAAATCCGGTTGGTACCTGTAGCAGAGAATACTAGTAGCAATTTGAATTTTTGTGTGTGGTCGCACAGTATGGGAGGGCATCCAATGTGGCGTTAACCTGATGTTAGTGAACGTGCATGTCTCTGACGACCTCCCCTCAACAGTCGCTACCGTGTTTTGATCGTATCAACGTCGTTCCTTGTTGTTCGAATTGGAGGCCAGATGTCGCGGGAGAGCACAGCTGTGTTTCAGCTAGCGTTGGTACATTGATGTTTGTTTTTCCCTGAAAATGTTGAGATGACCATTCGAACCATCGATGTAGTTTGGTCCGCTTGGTATGTCGCCATGAAGGGGAATTGGAGTAGCTGAAATAAAATGCCAACGTAGCGCTGTGTCTGGCCTTCGTTTGTAGGGAATTGGAGTAGTTGAGATGACAACGATGATGTTTGTTTTTTGGCAGTCGTGGAATCATTGCGAGGGTTTTTGGCTTGAAGGCCGGGTTTTCCCTTGCAACGCCTATTTTTTCTGTTTGGTTTTTCGGTGGGTACGTTGAGCAACACACGGTGATAGTTGATTACTAGCGTAAGGAACCAGGGAAAGTGTTCGTGGGTGTGTATATGTAGGAAGGATCTGAGGAACGGTTCTGTGTTCCGTACATGAAGGGACCCGCTGTGGTACCTGTTGTAGTAGACTTGGATGAGTCTGCGGTGCCCCCATGTTGCGTCAGCCTGTGTGGGGCACTCTCTTTTCTCCTCTGTCTGTCGTGCGTTTGTCCTCCGGATCTAATACAAGCAATCAACGAGACTTTCCNGCCGGGTTTTCCCTTGCAACGCCTATTTTTTCTGTTTGGTTTTTCGGTGGGTACGTTGAGCAACACACGGTGATAGTTGATTACTAGCGTAAGGAACCAGGGAAAGTGTTCGTGGGTGTGTATATGTAGGAAGGATCTGAGGAACGGTTCTGTGTTCCGTACATGAAGGGACCCGCTGTGGTACCTGTTGTAGTAGACTTGGATGAGTCTGCGGTGCCCCCATGTTGCGTCAGCCTGTGTGGGGCACTCTCTTTTCTCCTCTGTCTGTCGTGCGTTTGTCCTCCGGATCTAATACAAGCAATCAACGAGACTTTCCAGTCACTGGACACAAATACGGGCATACCCGGCAATCACTCCGGCTCTAGGAGTGGTCAACAGCCTTTGTGTTGCCTACACTACACGTATGTACAAAACGATGGTGGTAGAGGTTTTGAAGTAGTTCTGGTGTGCGTGTGTGGTCGATGGATTAGGGTTAGGTGCCCGCTCGTTTATATTAGATAAAGTTGCACCATTGGACTAGTCAGCGCTGACTAGTCCAATGGTGCAACTTTATCTAATAAAAGATATACGCTCAGCTCATAGCACCCGGTCGGATCACTTGGCTTTGTGGCTTTTTGAGAGAAGGGATATCCGGGGACGGACCCCTCGCCAGACGCTGTAGTTCTAGGTGCACTTTTTGCAAAGAAAAGTGATCCGGGCGGTATTTGGACTCGTGCGGGTTTTCTGTTGTTTGATAGAGTTGCACCATTAGACTAGTCAGCGCTGACTTTTGTAATGGTTCAACATTTGGCGATAAAGGATTGACGCACGGGGTCAAAACCCGACTGGTTACTTCCCCACGCACCATTAAGTTATGTTCAGGCAGCGTCTGGCGAGGGGTCCGTCCTCGGAGATCTCTACTCACGAACCCAAAAATGTGATCCAGCCGGGTGCAAATGAGCTCTGAGCATATCTTTTATTAGATAAAGTTGCACCATTAGACTAGTCAGCGCTGACTAGTCTTATGGTGCCACTTCATCTAATAGTTCACACTTGACTTGTGTACTTTCTGCCTCCTGTGTTGCGTGTGTCAACGAGCCACGAAGAAGGCTGCATGTGTACAGGGTGTACCTTGCACAATCACCTGACCGGTAGTGTACGCATGGAATCCTAAACAAACGCCTTTGCTCCTAGTGTCGTTGCAGTGAAAAAATCGTTCCGATCCCTGCTCGGCACCAGGCAAAGCCGCAACACCGTCACCTCGGCGAGGCTACAGGGTGGGGGGCTGCCCACGAAAACAAAACCGACCGATAGGCAAGTAGTATAGGTATGGTCCAAACCGACCGATAGGCGTGTACTGTATGGGCACCGATAGGCGTGCTGTTGTTCTAGGTCGCGCGTGCCAGGGAGACCGTTGCCTTTCTTTGGAAGGGAGACCACGAGTTCTCCGCTTCCACCAATACAAATCAACCCGAAAATGGCGTGAACGAAGACTCCACAGCCGCAACGAACAGAGCTTCACTGTCCAACTTAGACGACGCGACCAATCAGCACCGCGAGAATACATGAATGCGAAAATATGCATATAACGTCGTGGGCTTGTAGTCTAGACACGAAATTAATTTGTGCCAAAAGAAAAGGCGGGGCTCCTCCGTGCTTTTGTTCCCCCGCTCGTGCAAGCGTTATATGACCAGCGAAGTGGCAAATGCATACGGGGTAGATACCTGCTAGGCGTGCCCCAGATGTCAGAGAAATGCCCGGTGACATTTGCGAATACAACTCATGCAACTGAACTGGGAAAAACAAACAATGCCAGGGACAAAAACCATGCCAAAAGCAGACAAAACGAACCCACTAGACTAGTCTACTGCTGTAGAGAGGGACTGGACTCGCGTTGAACAAACCTGCGCGAGGCGACCGTTCCCTCCCGCAGCGGGAAAGGGATCCTATCCGTCAAACGCCAACGCAGTCATACTGTCTTATGGCCGCTTTCGGCTGTCCAACAGGAAATATTGGCACTCTGAAGCTCTTCGATGGAGCCACGTGAGTGCATAGCCTGGCGAGCACAATCGAGCACGCAACACCACATATCGGCAAAAACAACAGGTTCCAAAAAAACAGGTCCTACGAAGAGCAACAAGCATCGCCCCCACTCCATCCAAATGCTCCGACGTGTGGACTCCATGACGGCCAAGCCGAAGCTTGCAACAAGCCAGGCGCTAATCCGATCGAAAAAGCAATACTACTAAAGCTCTTCTCTGTACAAGGGAACCTTCACCCAGTGCTGTTCTCTAACTATTCGCCGCGGGACGATAATCGCGCACCGCTCATGTGCCGGGCGACTCGCCACCAAAGCTATTGTCGCTGTCATTCTTCTGTCGACCTCGCTGAGGGGCCGGTCGCTGTCATCACGTGCCGCTCGTCTGCCCAGTGACATCGCCGCCAAAGCGCCACCATTGCTGCCATGCTGCTGCCAACCTCGATGCTGCTCTGTAGCCGCCGCGTGAAACCCAGCAGTCCGCGCTCGTGCCGTAGGTTTCATGATGCAAGATACCACACCCCTGGACCCGTTTTCAAAGCCTAATACATGTACTCCACGACGAAGAGGATGCCAGAATCAGATGGCGCGTATCGGAAACACTCTCAACGAGGCGGTTCTAACGCCGCCATTTTCGGCATCGTCACTGTTTTTTCCGGCCGAGTAACCGACCTCTCAAAATCGGTCCAGGGGGTGTAACAAATTACACAATGCAACCTACGGCAGTCCTCACCACCACCACTACTGCATCAGCTTCTGCACCGCCGTCGCCGCGGTAACCATGTGATCCCCGCTGCCCCACGGATGTGGTTCCTCCTCCTCCTGGGGCGGCATCGACTTCCACCCGTCCACGACTCTCTGCGTGGCCCCCGCCGACCCCGCTGTCTCCTCGCTCGGCCTCCATGCCAGGGGGTCCGGTCCTGAGGGACCCTGAGCGGTGAGGTGGGGTGCGCCGCAAGCGGCCGCGTCCCGCAATGCCTTCTTGGCGGCGGGGTCGGAGATCTCGAGGGTCGCTCGTCGGAACGGGCCCGTCTGGATCAGGTCCGACGCGCACCGGAGGAGGGAGGCCCGCATCACCGCCTCTCTGCGGTTGTAGCCGCCGCCCGCCCCGCCGGCGCTGGAGTCGTCGTCCCCTTCCTCCTCTTCCTCTAGGGACGTGCCCATGTCGTCCATCGACTCTTCGGGCGTGGGCCCGCTCGTGCCGAACTGCTGGCGGGCCGCCTGCTTCTGCTTGCGAGCGTCTTGCACTGTTCGCTCCAATTGCTGGGTAGGGGGGCGGGGGGGGGGCAGAGGTCAGCNGGGGGGGGGGGGGGGGGGGGGGGGGGGGGGGGGGGGGGGGGGGGGGCAGAGGTCAGCGGCGGGCGGCGGAACGTGGAGGGATCACAGGAATGAACTGAATCCCGTAGTATACGAAGAGAGAGTAGCATTTGCGTAGAAACTAACGGGAAACCGCCACCACCGAAACCTTGAAGCAACACGAAGAAAAGAGACCCGACAAGGTTGACACACAGCACGCCTTGTGTTTGTAGCGAATGCACTGCTGTAGGACTCTTGGACACTTTGAGGACGTAGATGCTTCGCCCGTAGGCTTACAACCTAGTTGAGAAAAACTGTATCGCTCCTCGTCCGTAGGTCCCCTTGACAAGGCAGAATGACAAACAGATTCGCTCAATGAGCGTTGCTACGGACACAACCACGGGACCGAACGCACTTTCACACAAAGCCTACAAGGCGCGCCTCCGGAGTGGGTCCATCAGAGCTGGTACACAGTAATAGCGCCATCAAGAGGCGTTACGCAATATGAAAGTTAAGCATACGTTGGTGTGAATCAGCTCCCAGCTGCCATCAGTGACGTTGCCTGCTCTCAACAGGTCACACCGCCGACGTGCTTTCGCTCGAAGAGCACAGGAACCTCAACGAAAAAAAAAAAAAAACTGTGTGCAGTACTACTCTGCAGGCAAGTAACGGCACAACCATGGTATGGTACAAAGATAAGTATACATGTATTGGCTGACTAACCCGGATGCTCGAGGAGTTGACGTTGAGATGTGGCATGGAGGCCGATCGGTAGGTTGCTAGTCGTAGCCCCGGCGCATCGGCCTTGCGCATCGCCAGCTTAAACTCACTGAAGGGAAAAAGAAAAAAAAATAGTAATATTTAGTAGGTCAACACGGACGCATGTATCAGGGTTGAGATATTAGATAGGACGTTGTGCATCTCGGTGCCTGCGCGCAAACACAGACCTGTTTCTCTCTCTCTCTCTCTCTGGCTCCCTCTGTCCCATCTACCTCCGTCCGTCCCTCCCTCTTAGAGACGCGACCACGATACCGTACTGTGCCTTCATTGAGTGTACCGAATGATTGCACTTTTGCTTCCTGCTTACCCGAAGTCTATCTCGCCGTCTTTATTGAGGTCGAACTCCTTGAAGATCTCATCGATGCCCTCTTGCCCCAGATCGCTACCCACGATATTTCGAAGATCGGTCGCTGAGGTGGGCGAACAAACGCAGGACAGCAAAAAATAATGACAGATCAGCACGAGCAGAGGTCGAGCATGAGCGACAACACCAGCTACGCCTTCGCGCGTTCTGTATGAGACGAAACGGAACAAAAGCTGGTCCTGCCTACCAGAAGCACGAATACATGTGCCACATACACAAGAGTAGAACCATCATGAGCAACCCGAACAATTTGCAACACAAGGATACACGAGCTAGGACTTCACCAGAAACACAACAACCGTGTCACGAAAGGTACAACATGTTGTATCCCATCGCTACCAGCCCCGCTGTGGTCGCAATGCCATCGATCCGTGCAAGGCATGGCAAGGCAAGGCACAACAAACGACAGCCGTCCTGGCAAAAAATGATGACCGCGTCATGAACGCGAAACAACGTCACGCAAGCATGCTACCGCATGAGGATCGACGTCCACATGAACTGGCAGTGGCGCACCATCAATTGTGCCGCTGTGGTCGAAGTCCAACCTATCAAAGGCCAGCTTAAGTCTCATCTCGTCCAGTTGCCGTCTCTCCAAGGTCGCCGCCAGGAACTCGTTGAAGTTGAGTTCGTTACCGTTGTCAACATCCACGCTCGCGAAGATCGCACGGATGTCCGCTGCACAGATAAAACCAAAACAAGCACCATCCACCCACACACCAACAGCGTCAGGAGCAAACAACGAGGGAAGCGAAAAGAAAAAACAAGAGGACAGCCAAGCGGATGACATTTAAGAACCCGAGCGAACCGAAAGATCGGTACGACATTAATTAAGCTCGGAGGTACAAGGTACATCTTTCGAAGAAAACGCAACAATTGGCGTCGGCGACGTCTTATAAGGCCATACCTGCCCGAGTGATCAACCGTGCAAGCTCAACGTTGAACGGTCGGGAGGGTTAAGTCTGGGAAGAGGTCTCTTTCCCGCGCGCATCTCTTCATGCATTCGATGGCACCCAAGGAGGGGAGATGAACCCATGCAGAAGCACCATCGACGTTCGTTCACCCAACAGAATGGAAGCGTGGTAACAACCGGCGGTAGCTCGCCAAAGAGCAAGTCCAACGTTGAAAACAGTTGGTAATTGTAGGTCACTCCTCCTGCTTCTGAGGGAACAACATACACTCGCAGACGGCCGGACAAGGTGTGTTTACACCTGTACACCGACGCCCGTACGTCATCAACCATTACTCCCGGGCGTAATCTCACGTCTTGCATGCCAGCGAATAGTCCATTGACCACACGTCCCCGAGCGGACCGAGCATTGTCTCGACAGGACCGATCACCCATGGCCAATCATTGCTTCCTGCTTAGTCCTATCTTGCCAAAGTTGGCTCAAAATATTTTTCCTAGCCTTACTTTCCCTATCGACATCACTTTACTCCGGGGTCCCAAAGGTGTCTTGTAATGCGTGTAGCCAGCGGCACGCCTCTCGAGTAATTGGCTCACCTTTTGATAGATTCGCTTGACTCGAGAGGACGTTGTCGAACTCTTCCAAGCTGATGGTGCCACTACCGTCTTTGTCCATCTGGCGATGAGAGACATGAAACAGCACCATCATGGGGGAAAAAGTCCATCGGCATGTTACAACACAACAAGCAACAACAATTGTTTTTTATAACACAAATCAACCACAACTACCTGACTACACAACTGCCTGAATTCTTAGTGCAAAGCCTTCATTGTGGTCGGCGTTCAATGCTTTCTGAATTCTCTGAGACAGAACGTATTCACGGATAAAAAGCCCACTCAGAACAACACCAATCGATCGGGTGTGTCAGCCCTTGTTATTTTCGCAAAAAAAAATGCACGCAGAAACGAAACGGGTGGCGTCGGACAGGTCTTGTCGAGACAGGTATCACGTAATCGGTAGGTTTTCATACCCGCTTGGTTGTGGAGCAATCGAGCTGCGCAAATCGATTCCTGTGCTGGGATCACTCACACGGTGGGGCAATTGAATGCTCAGCGTGGGTCCAGGGAAGAAAATCAGCCACTTGCAAAGCTCGGGTTTCGTACATGAAAGGGCGGCAAAACGATGCACAACCAACACGAGAGCTATCCCCCCCCCCACCGACTGGAGACAGCCAAGAGTGCTTGGAGGTTGACATCGAGAAGCTGTCAACTACGTAAGGAAGTTTGGATGGAGGGTTTGCATCGCGAACATGATAGAAACAGAGAAGGTAAGGAGACAAGAGGCGAGGGCGACGGAGGCGAAGAAAGGACTGAGCGGGGGAGGCGAGCAGGCAAGTCAGAAAAACGCCGACAAGAAGCGGAAGGCGATCGATAGCGTGCGCAAAATCTCCACTGGGGAAAAAAACAAGCTGAGAGTCGGGTCGTGGAACGTGTGCGGGTTCGCAAGGAGTGAGCGCAAGCGGTTGGAAATAGTGGACCAAGTAGAAGAAAGCGATCTAGATGTAGTGGGGATCCAAGAGACGTGGGAATTGCAGGATGGTGAGGTGGTACGCAAACTAGGGAAATACCGGTGGGTTGTTGTTGTTGTTGACTTCACATTAAACCGTATGCCAGTTGCTAAATGCCAAAATCTAGCAAAGACTCTCGGCCCGTGGTCACGAAAGTGCTGGAGCCATCTGAGGATCTAAAGAACACGCACACGTAGCAAGAAAAAGGTATCCAAGAGCCCGAAGAGGTACACCTAAAAATCCCTGCAGCACCGTATGCGTGCCCAAAAACTGAACTGCACGTCCGTCCCACCGTTCGACTACAGTAGCATCACCCCCTCCCTGTCCCACTCTATACCAAAACGGAAGATTGCCGACTACA